AGAACCAAATATTAAAGAAGTTCATGCACATTCATCAATTATATGTGCTCATTGTCCTTTTTTTCAAAATGCATTAACTAATGCAAAAAGAGAAAATGGTTATTATATCATTGAGAAAGCAAAACTTGATGAGTTGGCTTTTAAGACAATACTTAAGTAAGTTTATTTAATAACAATAATTTTATCATTTTGTTTATAATAATAATAATTATTATTATTATTAATAATAACATTTTATGTTTAAAAGATTTTTATACACTTGTAAAATTGAATTAGATGAGTTTAATGGAGCAAATGTATTGCAATTATTGATTGCAGCAGAGGAACTTGGCCTTGAGTCATTTTACAAATTCACAATGAATTACTTTATTGAAAAACATGAGGATTACATTAAAGAAAATCCAATTAAAATTCTAAGATTAATCTATTCTAATGAAGAAAAATTTAAGGAATTGAAAAAAATTTATCTAGAAAAATTTTATGATTACAGTGACAATTTATTTGAGTCAAGTGAATTTGAGTTATTGGAAAAACCAGTTTTAATAGCTATACTTGAAAGTGATGATTTTTATGTTGAGGAGGAAATAATTATTTGGGAAAGTATTCTCAAATGGGGACTAGCCAAGCATCCAGAAATTAATAATATTAATTATGTTAAAGTTTGGACAAAACAAAATTTTGCTGATTTAAGAAACACTCTGAAAGAATTGATTCCCTTAATTCGATTCCAGGATATTTCTAGTGAGGATTTTCATTACAAAATTGTTCCTTTTAAGAAACTTCTTCCTAAGGATTTATGGGATACTCTTTTAGAAAATTATTTGGTTCCTAATAAACAGCAAACTTTAAATTTATTACCATCAAGAAATCATAGAAATCCAAAACTTAAACTTGAATCACTGACAATCAATCAAAATCTTACATTGCTTTTTGCTAGTTGGATTGATAAAAAAACTCCACCATACACTTCATTCAGAGAAGTCAAATGTGAATTTAAACTTTTATATCGTAGCAGTAGAGATGGTTTAAATACAACTATATTCCATCAAAAATGTAATGATATCAACAAAACTCTTGCAATTGGAAAAATACAAAATTCAGAACAAATAGTTGGAGGTTACAATCCACTTAATTGGAATGAGAAGGAAAGTAAATATACAACTGATAGTTTTGTATTTAATATAAATAATAGAAATGATATTAATACTGTGCAATTTAGTTATGTTAATAATAATACTAATAATCAGCATGCAGTTAGGTGTCATCCTGATTGGTTACCTATTTTTGGTTATGGTTCTGATATTAATTTTCAAACAGATGGTAACATTTATAGTAATCCCACAACTTATAATAACATCAATATAGTAAATAATAGTAAATATGATGAATTAGAGGTTTTTCAAATAATTGATAAAAATTAAAAATGAATTTGTATTTTTTGCATAAATTTTTAATGTTAAAAAAAAAAAGTATTCGCATTGAAAGTAAATATTAATTTAATTTTTTAAAAGTTATAATTTTAATAAATTGTTATTGTTTCTATATGGTTATTTGTTGATTAATATAAATATCTCTAATTAATTAAATAAGCCTAATAATTTGGAAAAGAGATATGAATACTAACATGAATATGTATATACATATATTTTCAAATATATTAATAATAGTATTAGTATATATGTCATTCTACATGTAATTTTTTATCTGTGAATTTACTAAATATGTTTAATTATTTAATTTAATCAAAGGTAGTAGGGTAAAGGTAAATTTTATTTAAGTTTGACTAATATTACGTATAAATAAATAAATATTTTTTAAAACAAACTTAACAAACCTTTCATTTATTTTTTTTTTATAATTAATTTTCCAAGGATATTTAGGATGGAGGATTTGCTACAGAAAGTGTGAACTGTACTTGAAAAACTTCCAATTCATCAAATCTACTTCCATGTTCTATATTGATATCATTATAAGTCCATGATTCACTGCCATCACCAATGTTACCATCTGTATCAAACCAAACATCACCATTAATACCAAAAAAAGGTAAACAAGAAGAATCACACCAAATTGCATAATCATATTCATCATCAATGACATTGCTAAATTGTACAGTGTTAATATCATTTCTATTATTTATATTAAAAACAAAACTTTCAGTTGTAGCTTTATATTCATTACCATTCCAATTAAGTGGATTATAACCACCAACTAATTGATCCGAGTTTTGTATCCTGGCAACTACAAGAGTTTTGTTTATGTTGTCACATTTTTGATGAAATGCAGTTGTGCTTAAACCATCCCGACTGCTACTATATAAAAGTTTAAATTTGTACTTTACTTCTCTGAATGAATTATATGGTTGCACTTTTTTATCAATCCAACTTGCAAAAAGCAATGTAAGTTTTTGATTGATTAATATTGACTTGGGTTGTGGATCTCTTGGTGGCAATAAATTTAAAATTAGTTGGTTATCAGGAATCATATAATAATACAAAATATCTTTCCACAAAATCCTAGGAAAAAGAATTTGATATGGCATAATTTTCTCAGTAAAATCCTCATTATCAATATCCTGAAATCTAATTAATGGAATAATGTCTTCTAGTATATTCTTTAGTTTCTCAAAATCATTTTCAGTCAACTCTGAAATGTTTTTTTCTTCCAAATTTTCAATTTGTCCAATCCCCCATTGAATAATAAAATTCCAAATGTCAATTTCCTTTAAATCTAAATCATCTTTTTCTAATAAAGACACAAAGATTGGTTTTTCAATATCTTTGAAATCATTAGATTTTAAAAATAATTCTGGTTCCTCATCAAGCATTGCCTCAAAATATTCATAAAGTAATTTGAATGATGATTGATGTCTTGATGAAATTTCATGAAGATAATTTAAATCCTGTTGAATCCATTTTTGGTTTTCTGCAACTAAATAATTTTGTAAATCTTCTATTAATTCAT